GGGTCGGTGCGTGCATTTCCTTTTACTGAACATTAAAGCTGCTGTTTGTATACTATTCAAAGTTCTATGTCTATGCTATGTCCTCATTCCAGTCTGTCTCTTCTCTACCCATCATGTTGCCATCATCACTCTACATCCTCGATCGGGTCCGTATCCTCAGCAAACCGTCCCGTACCCAGTCCCGCACTGCTACCACAATCTAGTTCCGGCCAATCCTCAATATCGTCCTCGGATTCTTCAAGGAACACAGGTGTTTTCGGGCCCAGCTTGAGTCTTCGCAGCGGGAGGTTGTGCGGGTTCGTCACTGGCCTCAGACGGGATTTCTTGATATCGCAGCGTCCGACAACGGGCCTGGGTGGGATGAAACAGCCCGGAGCAGCACTGGCCGCATCCAGTACCTTCAGTTGCTCATCCGTGATGGCCTCAAAGTGAAGGCTCCCATTCCGCCACTTCCATAGCAGCTGGTCAAGAACTGGATTCCCTCCTGTCATCCAGCTAAGGTTCTGGAAGATGACGCCATGCGGCCAGCCGACAAGGACAAGTTTGTGCCGCACAACAATGTTCTTGAAGAAGCCACAAGCGGTCCAATACATCTTTGCATCCTTCACGCCGGTGAGTTCACCTATTGACTCAATCGTGACCAGTTCGAGTGGCGCGCCAACAATGTCCCAATGACACTCACGAAGTTTTGTGCAGACCAGAAGGCGAAATGTTCCCTTCTTGTCCACTCGGCGAGACTGGTAGCTTTGCCTGAGATGACTTTTGTGTGCGTTGGGCATGGTTACTGGGACTGGATGGACTGGAAATAGACAGGAAGAGTGTTTGAGATGGTGCTCGTACGTCTAGTAGATACATTTCTGCTGTTCTAGGACTTATGGATCTATGCTCATTGCTCACTGATCGAGGCCGCCTTTCCTGAATCGTCCATCTCCGTAAGCTCTGCTTCTTGCGCCAGCAACGGTCTGCACGCGATTGAAGCGCATATCAGGCTGCGTGCCTTTCAACTCGCTCCGAGTACGCGTAAATGAGTCGGATATTCGGATTAGTTTTGAATGTGCCCATGCGGACATTACTGGTGAGCCTCCATTAGCGATCATTTCCCCCACCGTAATTGACTACAACTAGCAGCTAACGTCTAGGTTGACATTAGCACGGAAGATTAATCTGGTGAGATAGACCGCGGCTGTTTTGGACTCACGGCCATCGCAATGTACGTCCAGTTTCTATTCATCCTTTGCACTAATTTTTCGCACCTCGGATACAGTGACACTTGGATCACTGATTCCTAGCAAGCGGAATGGCGTTGTCGGCTCACAGGGCTCCCACTCTCCATCTCCTTACCGGCACTGGGCGTGTTACTGTATACACCCCGAAGCCACCGTGGCGACTTTACTCGGAGCGAGCACAGCTGCATGGTGGGACAGAGTTCGTTCAGTGTCATTCATGATGATGCTTGCGAGAAAGTACACAAGCTCAACAGCTTATAGCGATCCTTCCGCTGCTGGTCTCACATGTGGGGCTGCAGGACGTTTGGAGAGATGATGTAGAATGTAATTGGGGTCAGGGCCCGCGCCGTCTACGATGGGCCTAGGCTCACGAGTTTGACGGTGTACAGCACATGTTTCGGATACGATATGGTATTCGATTCGATTCAGGGACTCGGATGCGAGGCGCTGGAACGTAGTTGGGGTACGCGCCCGTGTCCCTGCGCCGATCACAGCGGTTTACCGACTCATTTGATGCGTTCGATGGTAGGCTCTTCAGTTTTCATCTATCTTGGATGCAATTGCGGCTGAATTTCTGCTTTTAGAAACACAAGGCCCAACAAAAGTACAGTGACTCAAATGTACTTTGAACGGTCGCACCTGGCATGACACGTATTCTGCGTCTCCTGTGTGCAAATAGATCAAGCAGGGTATGTGTGATCTCTTGGTCAGTGTCTGTCTCGACGCGCCCGAATCGAACTACACCATTCAGGTTATGCGAGGAAGGCCATTTCCCTGTCTAGATGTCTCGCAACGTGGTCGAAACACGGGCAGCGGAAATATAATGATTAGAATGACTACGTAAAGAAACATTCTTACTGCGCCATTGACAAATCTCATAGGCTCCGTGGCCCGGACAGCAGGTCTCTCGCATCCAATTCACCTTGCATTCATTCAGTCTCGGCGGCTAGGACGTATGGATTGTCCCTGCAGATGTCGTTTGAGATGGACAACTAACATCCGGCACTGGGCTGCCTACGCGTAGCATGATGATGACAGTCTCTTGAGAGTGGATGCGCGCTGTATTGTGTACGGCACGCCATGCTCTAGGTAAGGCCCCCACGTCTTCCAAATTGTGCTATATGTGCACTGATCGTGCTGCTGCAGGCCCTCTTGAACGCCTTTGAGAGGTCCGGCACCAAGTAGGTGTGCGCATCAGCACCAAAGTTGGAAGACAACAGGGAACTTACTGCGTCCCCCACCCATGGCCAACGTTTGACCCGGACCAGTATGGCCACTGCGCGCCTCAATTCTTCCCAGAAAATGGCGTATAGGTACCAGGAGTCCCTTGTATTTGACGATGGATACAGCGCGGCCATCAGGAGAGACGTAATCGGGACAAGGGTGTACCCTTGTCTCCAGCCGACATTCCAGCACGCCACTACACGCCGTCCGCTTCGAGACCTGGAGCATTTTACTGCATAAGATCGAGTTTGGACATCAGTAGATCTTCGCGCTTGTTCCTTGGACGCGGCGTGCTCGATCGTGCACTGGTTCCATGCATGGAGCAAAAGAACGTAGTTGGGGTACGGGCCCGTATCCCTGCAAAATGCATTGTGTTTTTATGCCGATCTCAGTGATTAACCGACTCGTTTAATGGTAGACTCTTCAGTTTTCATCTATCTTGAACGCAATTGCGGCTGAATTACTGCTTTTAGAAATCCAAGGCTTGATTGTTCAGCTACAGGCAACGGAAGCATAGTGACTACGTAATATGTGTATTCTGCGTCCGCTGTGGTGAAATAGATCGAGCAGGGTATGCGTGATCTATTGGTCGACATTTTTGTCAACACACCCGAACTAAAGTAGTATCCCATTCAGATTATACAAGGGAGGCCATTTGCCTGTGTGGACGTCTTGCAACGCAGTCAAAACACGGGCAGCGGAAGTATAATTATTAGAATAACTACGTGAGAAACATTCTTACTATGCCGTTGACAAATCTGATGCTCCATGGCTCCGACAGCACATCTCGCGTCCGATTCACCTCCCATCCATTCAGTCCCGGCTGCTAGGATGTGTGAGTTGTCCCCTGCAGATGTCGTAAGTAAGAGATTGAGACGGACCATCCCTAACTAACATTCCAGCAGGCTGTCTACGTGTGACATGATGACGACGCTCTCCCGAGTGGGCGCGCGCCGTATTGCGTACGATACGCCATGCTCTAGGTAAGGTCCCACACCTTCCGAGTTGTGCCGTGTGTGCACTGATCACGCTACTGCAGGCCCTATAGAATGCCTTTGAGGGGTCCAGCACCGAGTTGGGCGTGCACATTGGCACCATTGGAACACTACAGGGAACTTACTGCGTCCCTCAACCATGGCCGCCGGACATTCAACCCAGAACAATACGGCCGCTGCATGCCCCAATTCTCCCCAGAGAATGGGGTGTAGGTTGCGGGCGTCCCTTACACTGACGACGGATACAGCGTGCGCGAGGCTGTTACAGCGCCGCCATCCTGAGGGACGTAATTGAGACGAGGGCTCAATCTTTCGGTGTAGCCTTGTCTCCAGCCGACATTCTAGCGCCACTGCACGCCGTTCGCCTCAAGACTCGGACCGATTGATTGCGTATGATCGAGTTCGGACGTCGGAGACGTTTGCGCTTGCGCCCTGGACGCGGTGCGCTCGATCATGCACTGGTTCCATGCATGAAGTGAAGCTCGTCGTCTCCCTTGGAGATGCATGGCCCGTGCGTGAGAGGCAGAGGGAAGTGAGAGGTGGCGACCAGTGAGAGGTGGCAAGCAGTGATGGACGGCGCTTTGTGGCGGCCGAGACGGTATAAAGGTGAGAGTGAACATACAGTATTTGCCATCTCCCCTCTTCCACCTCGATATCCCAAGACAGTCAATCACAGCCAGCGAAATGGTACGTACCTGTATCTATGTGGTGGCTACAGGAACTAACGATTCGTCTCTGCTGTCTCACAGCCCTTCTATACCTCCGCGGACAGTGATCACGACGTCGAACTGCCATTTCTCGATACTGCCGCAGGTTTCGTTTGATTTATATGACTCAAATCGGCTACGCGGATTGCGCAACACTGCTTACACACGTTTTGTATGTCCTGTGCTTGTTCTATCCTGTGCTGGACTCACAATCGGCTGTTATCTTGCCGTACTGGACAGATGGAGCAGTAGGCCAGACCACTTGCACGGCGGCCCGTTTACATGTCCCTGGACTGCCCCCCAGGGTTACTGCTTAACGGTCCGCCGCCAGACTCACCACTCCCCGCATCGCCCCTGCTGTCGCCCAACGGCGCAGTGCGACACCCATCTTCTCCGCTGCCCTCGCCTGCCTTTGCGAGCTCAGGCTCTATAGCTCGGGGATGGCGTCGCGACAGAGACGGGCACCGAGCGGCCCTGCGA